CTGGCATTCGTTTGCAGTTTCAATAGATCTCCAATAACATTACATCTTTATGACATATTCTAAAACAAATTCAGTTAAGTAAGATATTTAAGCACTTCCCCGCCCCCCGCCCCCATAACACACCTGTATGTATCATTAAATATTATCCATTAACATTCTTGTTATTCAAGAAGCTTCCAAGAAGCTTCTTTAGTTGACTAAAAGTTATTTACTGTTTATCTCACTTCTCCTCTCCACATGCGCCCCTTCTCTTAATGGCAGTTAAGAATGTGCTAGAAACAGAGACAGAACTTCTGGCCCTCTCTGCATCAGCTGATCTGCGGGCCGAGGTTAAGGGGCTTCCTGCACCTCAAAAATAATAAGACCTCTCCAAAAATAAGGCCAAGTGCTTGTTTCGGGGGTCAAAACAAAATAAGACCCTGTCTTATTTTCGGGAAAACAGATGGCTATGATAAAGGGACAATATATCTAATATTACACATCCTAACTGCAGCAAGAATGGTATATATGCAGCAGTGGAAGAGTGAAAACCCTATCAGAGGAGGAGATTATAAGGAAGGTAGTATAGTTTGTGCAGAAATGGATAGACTAACGTTAAAAACAAAAGACAAAGGAGAGACAGAATATTACGATACACGGAACAGATTCTATCAATGGTTAGAAGTACAAGGTGGAAGTTGGAATATGAAAAAATTTGGTGAGGTGGACTTGGAAAAAGACACTATATATGCTTCGTTGTATTAGAATCAATAAAATAACTGTAAAACACTAGCACTGTTTAAAATAGTGTATATATTATTTGTTTTCACTTTGGTTTCTATGGCAAGTGAGATGCCAGGACAATTACACTGTATTCAATATGCATAAATGTAAACAATAAAAATATATTTTTGAAAAAAGAAAGAAAATCAGGGACGTACCTTGATTTCATATTTATCCGCGCTTAAAAGAATGTAATCACCAGGGCTATGCATGAGGGATTTGACTTTGCTCTCTTGTAAGACCACCTGCCATTTAAAAAATGATTTCAGTAAGGCTGCAGGCACATACATGACACAAGCCAACACATTTGTTCGGATGAATTCAGATCAAATTTCCTGAGCCTGATTCACAAAATCAGATTTGACGTCACCTGCAAACAGGAGTTAAGGCTGCTGCATAGAAGACCTGTAGATTGTGTGGGTGTGAGAAAATATCTGCAGACCCCTCACACCCTGGAGATAAACTATTTCAACTCCCTCCCCCCACCCTTGGGACATCACTATAAGACACGCCAATAACCAGGCAAAGGTGCTTTTTCCAAGAGGCAACTGGACTTTCGTTTTTCTTTGAAGAGCTTTCGCTTCTCATCCAAGAAGCTTCTTCAGTTCTGAGTGAACGGTGGAGGATAGTCATCAGGAATGTAAATCCTTCCATCCTCCTGGGACAGGAAAATGTGTTACAAGGCTAGTCCTCAGCTTATGACAACTGTGCCCAACATTTCTGTTCTTCAGTGACTATCATCTTGATTTATCACTTATAGCTTTTATGTACATTGAGACAAATTCCTTGTATATCTGATCACACTTGGCCAATAAAGAAGCCTATTCTATTCTATTCTTCTCTGTTCTGTTCTACTCTATAATTCTCTATTCTATTCTAATCTATTCTATTCTTTTCTATTCTATTCTACTCTATAATTCTGTTCTATTCTATAATTCTCTATTCTATTCTACTTTATAATTCTCTGTTCTATTCTATTCTATAATTCTGTTCTATTCTATTCTATAATTCTCTATTCTATTCTAATTCTGTGTTCTATTCTATTCTACAATTCTCTATTCTATTCTATTTTTCTCTGTTTTATTCTACGCTACTCTATAATTGTCTGTTCTATTCTATTCTATTCTATAATTCTCTATTCTATTCTACTCTATAATTCTCTGTTCTATTCTATTCTTCTCTGTTCTATTCTACTCTATAATTCTCTATTCTATTCTAATCTATTCTATTCTTCTCTGTTCTATTCTACTCTATAATTCTGTTCTATTCTATTCAATCCTGCTTTATAATTCTCTGTTCTGTTCTATTCTTATTATTTTATTATTCTATTCTATTCTTATTTTTATTTATTTTATTATTTTATTATTCTATTCTTATTCTATTCTATTCCTTATTCTACTCTACTCTACCCTACCCTACCATACCCTTATTCTACTCTACTCTACTCTACTCTACTCTACTCTACTCTACTCTACTCTACTCTACTCTACTCTACTCTATTCAAGCAACTGAAGAAGAGAAAGGCTATTATTCACCTTTGTGACCCACTCCGTGTGTCCGGTCAATGTGTTGAGGCAGAAGCTGGTCGATAAGGCCCACACTTTCACCGTGAAATCCGCTGAACCGCTGACCAGGATATCCAGTTCGTCGTTGTAATCCACACTGAAAACTAGAGGAGAAAAAGGGGGATTTGTCTTCCTTCTATCTTGTGACGGCGGGTGAGAATGGACTGCGCCAAAGACCCTCTAAGAGGTAGAATCTGAAGAGCAATTTGAAGGGGGTGGGCGGGTAACAGTGGCAGGAACATGCTGGCGTGAGAGGTACTTGAGCCATGGTGGGGCAGTGGTTAGAGTGCAGTGTTGCCGGCTAATTCTGCTGACTGACAACTGTCAGCAGTTGGGCGGTTCGAATCTCACCAGGCTCAAGGTTGACTCAACCTTCCATCCTTCTGAGGTCGGTAAAATGAGGACCCAGATTGTTGGGGGAGCAATAGGCGGGCTCTGTAAACCGCTTAGAGGGGGCCATAAAAGCACTGGGCAGCAGTATATAAGTTTAAGAGCTTTTGCTATTGCTACTTGGTGCTCTCTGATCTGGGTTGTTTCCTTGCAGGCGTTTGATTCCCCTGATGGTGTTATCAACTTTGGTCATGAAATGTCTACAAGAAAACCACCAAGCTCAGAGAGCACCAAGGACCCCACGGTCCTTCTCCTTCCCCTCCTTCAATCCACCTACCTACCCCCTGCTAGCATTGATGATGTTACCTAGTTGGGTCATGAAACATCTGCAAGAAAACCACCAAGCTCAGAGAGCACCAAGGACCCCAGTCGTCATCCTTTTCTTCCTCCTCCTCCTCCTCCTCCTCTCCACATCCCACTCTCTTCTATAGCACTGAGGATGTTACCTAGTGGGGTCATGAAACGTCTGGAAGAAAACAATCACACTCAGAGAGCACCAAGGGCCCAAATCCTCCTCTCCACAAACCCCACTGTCTACTAGCACTGAGGGCGTTACCTAGTTGGGTCGTGAAACATCTGCAAGAAAACCACCAAGCTCAGAGAGCACCCAGGACCCATCACTTCAACTCCGAGCTACAAATACTTCCCCCCATCGGTATTTCTGTCCTAAGCTGTCTGCAAAGGAGGGAGGCGGGTTGGTTGCTAAGTGGGAGCCGCTCCACATGACAAGACCACATAGACAATTGCGTAACCGACGTGACGCTCTCTTCAAGACCCCGGCGTACCTGCCCCGGTGTGGCCTCGGAAATGCTGGGTCTTGGCTCCCGAGCTCCATTCCCAGCAGGCGACGGTGTTATCGAAGGAGCCGGTGACCAGCTTCTGCTCATCGAACTTGACCGCCGCACAGGTATGGGTCTGGATGCCGTAGATGCACTGACCCGTGCTCACGTCCCACAGCTTGGCCGACAAGTCATCTGAGCCTACAGCCGCGAAAGGAAAGAAAAGAACGGTTAGCTTAGGGCGGGTGCTGGCAACTCCAGAGCCTCGTGTAGTTCTTTCGTCCCCCTGCTGGGGCTCTGTGTCGGCTGAACCCACCACTGGCTGGCCCTGCCCTTCCAGTAACTCCTCGCCTGGCCTGAGAGAGATGAGAGAGAGAGAGAGAGAGGAGAGAGACAGACATAAAGAGAAAGAGAGAGAGAGAGAGAGGGAGAAAGAGATGAAATGAGAGAGAGAGGGAGAGAGGGGAGACAGACATAAAGAGAGAGAGAGAGGGAGGGAGAGAGACAGACATAAAAAGAAAGAGAGAGAGAGGGAGAAAGAGACGAGATGAGAGAGAGAGAGGAGAGAGGGAGAGGGGAGAGAGACAGACATAAAGAGAAAGAGAGAGAGGGAGAGAGAGACATGAGAGTGAGATGAGACAGACATGAGAGAGAGAGGGAGGGAGGGAGAGACAGACAGACAGACAGACATAAAGAGAAAGAGAGGGAGAGGGAGAAAGAGATGAGAGGAGAGAGACAGAGGAGAGAGACAGACATAAAAAGAGAGAGAGGGAGAGGGAGGGAGAGAGAATGAGAGAGAGAGGGAAAGAAAGAAAGAAAGAAAGAAAGAAAGAAAGAAAGAAAGAAAAAGATGCCTGTTTACCACAGAAAACAATGGGGAGCCACAAAACCTGGGTAGGCGTGACTGAGGTGTGTGTCATGTGACTGGGTGAGAGTGAGTGACGTTGAGTTGGCCACGCCCACCCGGGTTTTGTGGCTCCCGGTGTTTTCTTTTCTGTGGGAAACGGGTCCAAATGGCTCTTTGAGTGTTTAACAGAGGATCTGTCATGTTTGGGGAGCTGGGTCAGAACAGAACATAATCCTTTCGACCCAGGAAGCGCCTCGGTGCCTCCGACGCGAGTGCGGTGCCCTTAGTTTTGGGCTCCTGGGTTCGATTCCACATTACAACCCCGTAGACTTCAATTAAAGCGCACCCACTCCCGATTCTCGCAAGCAGACTTTGTTTCGGTTTCGGACCTGGGTGGGCTGCCCTACCTGTACAAAGGAGTCCGTCTTTATAGTAAAGTGCGTAGACCCTGGCACTGTGTCCAATCAACGAGGAGGTCTCGAAAGCCTGGTGGTTCTCCAGCTGCTTCATCCTCAGGATGGCCTTCAAGTAGACCTTCTTCCAGTGCAGGGCCTCCTGGAGAGAGTCATCGATCTGCCAGCCGAGGTTACGACAGGCCCCCTGCCACACCTCCAGGCAGGCGCTGATCACCTTGTTCCATTGCTTAGAGACGAGGCAACAGGTGAGTAAGGTCTGCGGGTCGAGCCATTTTAGCAAATAGAAACTCAGCTCCAGCGGGAGCAGTTTGAGGAAGTCCCGCTTGAGAAGCGCCTCGAGGTTGTTGGAGAGGTGCTTTAGCTGAGCGGCCCCGCTCAAGGCAATCAGGTGGTCCAGCGCCTCATTTTTCTGCAAGTCCACCAGAGAGAGAAACGTGACAGACAGGTTATCAAGCCATGCTTCAAACTCCTTCCTCTCCATAAGGAAATGGAAACATTTACCTGCGGAACATCAAAACAAGGAGATTAGTTTACTGTGTTTTCCGGAGGGTAAGATGCTCCGGAGTATAAGACGCACCTTAGTTTTTTGGGGAGGAAAATAATAATAAGAAGAAAGATTCTGCCTCTGCCCACCAGCATCCATGGTATTCAGCTGACACACGGTAACAAGGTCAGCCAATGAATAGGCATAGCAACTAAATCAGCCAATGAGGACTCTGACATTTGCCGTGTGAGCAACAAGGAGACGGGAAGGAGCCTGGCTTAGCGGAGAACTGAAAGTGAAACTGCTTGTGATTTGCTTGCATTTACTCTACCTTGGAAAACCTGCTTTGGGTAATGTACTATAGATTATTATGATCATTATTTTGAATCCTGCTGAATCAGTTGCTGTGCTTTCTGAAGGTGATTGCTGCTCTTGAAACAACCCGCCAGGTCAGCTTCAGCACTTATTGCAGCCTGGTTCAGCACAGCTGATTGGCGGGTGGATCGGACTGCTGGGATACCTGCCAATCAGCTGTTCCAGGCTGCAGGGATTGCTACACACCATCGCCTCCTCCGTGCCTCACGTTTTTGGCCTCTGGTGGGGGTGGGTGGGGCCACATTCCATGTATAAGACACACCCAAATTTTCACCCTCTTTTTTGGGGGAAAAAAGATGCATCTTATAGTCCAAAACATATGGTAGTTTACTTTACTTTATTCTCATTGCACATCGTACAAGGAAATTAAATGCATCTTCAGTGTACATTATACCATGTTTCCCCAAAAATAAGACAGGGTCTTATTTTCTTTTGACCTATGAAATAAGCGCTTGGCCTTATTTTCAGGGAGGTCTTATTATTTTTGAGGTGCAGGAGGTGGAGAGCATGGTCACCTCCTGGCTGCTGCTGTGTTGCAATATTTTCTTGGAGGGCTTATTTCTGGGGGAGGGCTTATTTAAGCGCATGCGCTCAAAAGCCCAATTGGGGTTTTTTTTCAGGGAGGTCTTATTTTTGGGGAAACAGGGTAGCTATAAAAATAAAAACACAAACACACATCCTTCGCATGCTATATAATCGAAATTGAAAACCCAATATTGCATTAATATTGCACTATACAGTAGAATTCAATATAGTTACTGCTCTGGGATAGAAGCTGTTTTTCAGCCTATTTGTTCCTTGTCTTTATTGTCCTGTACCGGCTGCCAGATGGTAATAGTTCAAAAAAAAAGAGTGCCCAGGATGAGATGGATCTTTAAGAATGTTTTGAACTTTCTTAAGGCAGCTATAAAACTCTTCCAAAAAGGGGAGAGGGCAACCCATGATGCTCTGGGCAACAATGTTGACCCTCTGGAGCGCATCCTATCTGCCCCTGTGCAATTGGCAAATGAGATGCAGGCGCAGTAAGTTAAAATACTCTCTATGGTACAGCAGTAGAAGGTCAACAGCAGTTTTCCAATCAGTTGTTGTTTCCCAAAAAGTCTCAGGTTGTATCCTCTCTGCTGGGCCCTTTTGACCAGGGCTGCAAGTCAGGTCCTTATTTTATGACAACACCCAGAAACTTAAAACTGGCCACTTGCTCTACTCGGTCCCCACGGATAAGCAAGGACTGGATGTCTGATCTATTCCCTTTTTTAAAAAAAAAAAAGATTTTATTTTCAAAACAAACACAACACATAAAATCTTCCTTCTTTACATACTGTAGAAAGTGCATCAGTTGGTTACAAAAGGTTTTCGTGCATCTCTTCCACAGTCATCGAGCATAATTCATATTAACTCAAGTATATTTTATATCTCTTAC